GAAAGCGGCAGTGACCTTGCGACCACGGTGCAGGCGATCTTCTTTGGTGGAGACCTTTCCAGAGCCGACGGCATTTTCCATACCGCTAGTGGCAGTCATGGGGTACTCACCACCAACACCGATACCGTAGATGAAGAGACACCAGGCATAACAGATGATCCAGCCATTCTGGGTGACACCCCAGGCAGCAGTCAACATGACAAGACCGAGAAGCATGATGACAGCGTCCTGGATCAAACCCCATCGACGACCAACCCTAGTCCCACGTTAGCATAGACTCATTTCCAAGGGTGGGACAATTGCAGCTTACCAGTCACCCAAGACACCGACCAGAATCTGACCCACAATGATACCGATGATCTCGAGGTAGTCAATAGCGTAGATCCACTGCTGGCTGCAAGTTTTGGCGTGCTTCCAGCAATCAGGGAAGGCTGCTTGGAAGAGAGGCTTGATGTTGCCGATAGAGAAGAGCACGTAACCCTCCAGACCGAGACCAGCACCAGGGAGGACCATGTTACGGAAGTAGTAGGAGATGGGCGAGAGGGGGTCCACCTTCATCATAGACCAGATATCCATCAGCTCACGCTTGGCCTCCATGTTGTTGTAGGAGGTGACGAAGGTGATCTTTTTCCACAGCGGGAGATCAGCCCAGTAGACACCCTCGGGGGTGTAGCTGTCATCGGGACGAATGAGGGAATCGAAAGCACCCTTCTCATTCATATCCATATCCTCCAGCGGGTTGTGGTCTCCCGACATGTCGGGCCCATGAGGGGCACGAGGACCAAAGTCGGTCATCGTGGGAGGATTCACCGAAAAAGTGTCGCGTGAGCAAAAACTTTATCCGTGAAGAGGTTCAATTCCGGGTTAGGGAAGAGTCGGAGTGACCAAAATTGTTCGGGAAGGTAAGTGACTTCAACCCAGGAAAGTGGCGATTGACCTCTTAAGTATAAGAAAGGTGGGAAGAGGAAGAAGAAGAGGAAGAGGTGAGAAGGAGAAGTGAGAAGTGAGGGAAGCGGAGCGCGGAAGACATGCAACGACACAATTTAGTGTCTCCACTTGAAACTCAGAAAAATTGGCGAACAAAAAAAGAAAAGCTTGGAAAGTCAGAAGGCAAGAACCACTCCATCTCGGGGTCAGGGCCCTCTGGGACCCTATTTGGGGTGTAGTTATGGGTCTGCTATTGCTGGTTTTGGCTCCGAAAGCAGAATTTCTACTTTTAGTGGATCGAAGTGGATCGAAGTGGATCCGATGGGTCTTCAATGGAGTGACCGGCGACCAATTAAATATGCACGTGGGGGCAGAATCTCAATTTTGATCGCCACCGCCTGCGGTTCGTGGCAGATCTTTCCAAACTTTTCGCGGGGGCGATGAATTCTGTTCACCGTTTGAGTTAGAACATGCAATAATAATTACTCCTACAACATATGTTGTATATGTTATGGAGTATCTACAATCTCACCTTATTTGTAGGTTTTGAAGTGTTTACAAGGTACAGATTTTATTCATGGACTTAAACATCACCTCTTGGCTAAATCCTCATTGCCAAGGCACTGCCAATGCAATGCCAATGGGATGCCAATGGGATGCTATCGGGCAAAGTGGCATCCGCCTTATTCAAACACCTAGTCCCGGAGCCGGAGCTCATCTCGGATCGAGGATAATATCATTTACGCTTTGACACACGTACAGACTTTCTCTACTCCATAGCGATTGTCTAATCTCTCTGATAGGCAAGAAAGAAATCATTTCTCCCACAAATCACTTCCATATGGTCCAGTGCGCCAAAACGGGCCGCATCTGGGCCATTGGATATTGACGTAGTGGCTGAGGCAGTTCCGCGCTAGTTGGCAACCCCCGACATCTTCCTTGCATGATCTCTGGCCAATCAGCGTGCAGTATTTGACCATGTGCAACTCCATTCTCCGCACCTTCCCTCGAAATCTAAACCTACCTTCAACACGTGTTATCACGTTGCGTGTCACTACTATCTTACATTCCGATCTATCCGGTGTAGTTAGTAGATGGCATGAGCTAGATTCTCATTGACACAAGTGTTCTGGTGAAATCCGGTTTAAACGAAACTAAGATTGTGTACTATCGACCATGTTGGACCAAAAACACGTCTGATATCGATACATGCGAGCATATTGACATCAAGACTTTCGAGAATCTTGGCCAAAGCTTGCTTTGTTTCCTCGCATCGGCACAAGCAATTCCAAGCAATTCCAAGCAATCCCAAGCAATTCCAAGCCTGTCAAGCAATGGTAAGCGTACCGGCAGGGCGTCGCCAAGTATGCTTCTACAATGCTTGGTCCTCTAAGGCTGGATTTGGTGATGATATGCACGTGCTCACGTTCCCGTGGTTAATTGTCCAGAAACACGAGGTCAATCCACGCGTGGTTTGATGTCTCGGCAACCCACCTACATTAGGATACTCGGGAATGAATCTGAGAAACTCTTTTACCCACCTAAGGTACACAGGTGTGCCTTGCGTATGATACGCGCCCTGCAGATTAATTGGGCCTAATTTCCCCTTTTTCCACATTGTTTTCCTAGGGGGTTAGGCTATGTGGTATACTTTACATGGATACCTGGACAATCTCGGGCTGCACATATCATGATGAACGGCCAATGAAGGCAGATGACTTTATTTGCTTATTCCATCTTTCCTATTGGTTGCTCGGTCTGGAATTACGCCCTTGCACTTTGCCCCCCCCGTTGCAGGCTGCATACGGAGTACGTTAGCTGCTCTCTAGAAAAGCGACCCGTTTCAGAAGATTTCCCTGTTGTTTCGGCTGCTTCGTACGATTTCCTTGCTGTGAACTGGTATCCAGACTCTGTGGATCCAGGGCGCATCGCCTCATCCCTGGAGAATAGATGTCACTATATCACACATACTAGTCGACTGAATACCTAAGTAGGAAGGTACGTGTGTAATGCTCGGTGTCTCCGAACCTCATACAGCCAGTCGACCAAGCCCGTGGACGTTGGGAATAATTAATAATAATCATTCAAAGGCATGTCTTCTCCTAGTTTCATATCGCGTCGTGTCTAGACTCGATACATGACACCCTGCAGCCCTAGACCCAGATTTATTGGAATGATTCTATCTAGGTACCTAGGTAGCCTTCAGCATTCTATCGAATCAGCGCTAAGCGCACACCTACCTCCCAGTCCGGATGCTAGTAAGAGCAAGCCACTAGCTCCCAGTGGTTGACTTGGTTCGTTCCTCGCATCCAGGTCTCTACCTTGCATGTTGTCTCACGTTGTTGTGTTACTTCCCCCTATAGGGCGCGCTAAAAGCTGATAATATCATAACAAATGCCCGGGTTTAACGATATGATTGGCAAGGTTATTTGAGTGAGATATTAATTCCATCCTACTGTGTCATTATAAATTTCGGTCTGACACTACGTTGCATGTCAATTTCCTTTTTGTGTAATATCCTTCGGTCTACCTACACCTTGCTTATGGGGTTGTTTGGCGCAAGCTGACTCACCCATGAACAACAAGAAAACAAAATACATATTGGTCCGATGTGGAAATCCTAGGGAGTTCAACCCAAGCATTGGGGATGACCACCTCTAATAACCCTTAATGTATCTCCGATATCCTAAATAGGTCTACCAAGGACCACTGTGCGAAGTTCCCAATCCTAGTGATTAATAACTTCACGTAAACAGCGGGAAGTTGGTAGATTTCACAAAAGAATATCACTTCCAGCTTAGGGAACAGGAGACAAAGCGATATGTCTAATGTAGGAAAGGCCCATTGAGAGGGCCGCGTCGAAGTACATAGATGTAATGTGAGATAGATTGAATGTTCGAAGAAACAAGCTACGAGAGTATTGAAAATCTAACGTTGTAACCATCGTAGAAGGCAAGCTACCCTTCTCTGCTCTCAAACCGTTGTGGGGAAGCTCGCAACCAGTCCTGGCCAGATCTCATTTAGCAAACTGGATTTCTCCTTCTAGCCCAGGACGGTTCTGGATCTGCGGAAGTCTCCTGGCGATGCATTTGTTGTTGTTTTGTTTGGGAGTTCTCGATCGCGAGGTACATGATTGGGTCAATTGGGTTGCTGTCGTCCTCATAAAGGGAATACATCAAATCTGTTCATCACAATTGGTATCTTCACTATGATACGTCATGCAAATCCAGACCGAGTACCAGCGAACGCCAGATGTTATCACGAAACACAGCCACCTTTTAGCTCTTAGCTTTCTTGGTAGCAAGTACCATCTCTGGCCCGTTGATTATAAAAACGAGTTAAACTTATCATTCCACGTGCCAGGTAGTAGCTGTTCACGCTTAGTATCTAACTAAGGATGTCCCGCATTTGACATGTATACGGGCGGTTATAGTGGTCACATCACATAACTCTATCATTGGTTGATATTGCCTGTCAGTAGATTAGACCCACTCTTACTGTTTTCACGTCTACCGCCGCCTTCCTCGCCCGTACTAAAGAATTCACACTAGGGGTATTAGGGTTCAAAATTGATGGTTAGTCGTATCATTGTGAAGTATGTAGATGTAAAAATAAAAGAGAAGTTGAAATTAATGCAACTACCATACTTCAAGAAGGCGGGGATAAAATAGGCTGTAAGGCACTACCTAGGTAGCCAATGAGAGGGTTATGTGGTGGTGATCCCTATAGTCGCCCGTACACGTAACCGTCCAATTGGGACCCCACTCTTCTCCACTCTCCGTCTTCGACATATGCTCCTCTTAACCAACAGAACATGGAACCCGCTCAGTTACAGCTGGCTCGCCCTTTAGCACCCTTACTACGAAATGGTGGCACAACGCACCCATCTGTTCACAATGACCGTGTGGCTTTGGGGTATATGGAACTGGGTCTCGTTTATGCAAGACGCTATGACCATATTTCACTCGACACCAGTCACGCATGAAGTCCTATCAACAATGAGTCTGAAAGCTATGTTGTGGGCAGTGAACTAGGTCTTTCCGGAAGATTTGTACGAAATCTTTGTGATCCTGTTATTCAAGCATTAATGCCGCTGCCTGAAATGTTACGATTCGTTGATATCCAAGCTCTTACCTTCTCTGCTAGAGTTGTCCCAGATGTCGCTTTCGGTCTCGTGATGAATCCAGAATCCTCTGCTTCCCTTGATGGCATCTCTGTGGTTGGCGAGTTCAAGACACCCTGGACAGTGAATTTCCACGAAATGGAATTCAGATTCAATTCAGATTCCATTAGCTTCTTCCGCTCCGACTGCATCTCTCTACTTCACCCATTCTGTTTCTTCTCTGGATTGGCCACGCTATTGTATCAGATAATTGGTGCGCAGTGTCCTGTATCGCCCAGGGTGGCGTGTTCTCGAGTCGAGCACGCGTTCGACCTCGCAGCGATCCATATCGCTTAGGAAGCCTTCGTCCGTAGTAGTCTCTAGTATAGGTGCTTCTCTGTCAAATGGGTCTAGGCTCGGTTCTGGCTCTAGGTGTTCAATGCTGATTACTGGGTGTATCTTCCAGGCAGCTAGGATGTCGATTCGGTATATTAGACGCCCGATGCGTTCTAGCACTGTGAAACATCCTGCGTACTGTTGGCCTAGTTTCTTGGTATAGGCATCGTTATAGGCATCGTTGATAGGAATATTGTATCCCTTGCACAGTCGAAGTAGCACTTTATCACCCACTACGAAGTGCTTAGGTAGGTAGGTGCGATCGTAGTATTCTTTCATCTTCATTGCTGCGTATTTCAGGCACTCGGCTGCGTCTTGTCGCGCAGAGGTATCTTGTCCTTACGGCGCTGTTTGTAAAAGGTTCCATGGCATCCGAAGATCTACGCCTAGGAGCTTATAAGGCGTTTCGTGTGTCGCTACGGAGACCGAGCTGTTCATTGCTGCGGTTAGGCCTGGCAGACCGTTCGGCTAGTCTACAGCGCAATACAATACGCAATAGTACCGTAACCAGATCTCAGCTGTCTGGTTAGTTCTCTCGCTTTGTCCATCCGCTTGGGCGTGGTATACTGTGGTGTAGAAGAGTGAAACTCATAGTACGGTAAACAGCGCTTTCCAGAACCCTTTTATGAATTTTGGGTCGCGGTCGCTAGTCCACACTGTGGGGATAGCCCAATCGGCGGACTGTAGAAAGGCTAGCACTGCAAGAGCCCATTCTTTACTTGTCCAGGCAGCTTTGCCTGGGATAGCGCCTAGGCGCTTTGTGAACTTGCAGGTGATGAAGGCTACTGCGTCGAAGTTGTCCTTGGATGCTGGCAGCCCTATGATGAAGCCGATACAAATTGTGTGGCAGGGTATTGGCGGCGAGATAGATTCAATTCAGATTCAGTTCAGATTCAGTTCAGATTCAGTTCAGATTCAATTTACTTCCTCTCCCGGCCCATCGGATATGATTGTCAAGGTCCGTCACTCCGACAAATGTTCGTTGGATTTTGTCTTCTGTCCAGGTTGGATCCAAATTACCATGAAAGTGACCCTAGCAGGGCGACAAGGGTAAGTGCCTACCTAGGTGAACTTCAGACATAGTTAGTTAGGGGTAGCTGCTAACATGTATAAAAGTTGAGAGGTATTTCCGGGCTTCGAACATCAGAAAGGCTATGCCTTCTTCGTTCCCAGGAATTACCTCCCCTAGATACCTCCAGACTATCACACCGACCAGCGTGTCTGTTGAATGTGGCACCGCAACATCTGTGATTGTCAACTGCGTGGAACAAATATCACTTCCCGGTGACCAGGAAAAGGAGGTGTGGTTAGCAGAAATCAATGGAGTTCGACGAGTACTAAAATCATGGATACCTGACTTAGATGCACTGTGAGTTACGCTGTGTTCTATTATTGGGTTTAGCTAATGACCTCTATATAGGTTTGACAATGAAGCTGCTGTTTACCATCGCCTAGAAACAGCCCAACCGCCTGGATCCTGTCTTTTCCCCAAATGTATTGCACGAGGACAAGTCATATGCTCGAGTCTATCTCCGGCAGGTTACGTGATTACTATGGAATACCGGGAGGGGGAGGGACTCTGTGATATCTGGCATATGCTTAATGCAGCTGAGCGAGCCCACGTTGAAAATGAATGTTTGAAGGCTATCCACGCGCTTCGTGCCATCTCTATTCGTCTTGACGACCCTGGGAAGCATAATGTTCTATATGCAAGAGAGAGTAGGGCCGTGACTCTTCTCGATTTTGAGGTTGTGGCGCCGCTTGCGACAAACACTCTCACTCCTACCTCCTACGAGATGGGAAAATCTCCAACACAGACGAATAAGGTGGCTAGTTTCAACTCGATGATATCCCTGTACTTTACTTCTTTTGACCGGTTATTGATTCTTATTTGTATTATTACAACAATTATCTGTCGCTTATGCAGCCTTGTCATGTCTTATCTATATATCTTGTCAGTCCTAGGATAGAATCATCTTTGATATAAGTGTAAGAGAAATAGTTCTAATTTATAATTTAGCGGTGCCTTATAATGGGAGGTGGCCAGTAAATATTTAAACCCCTGTCGCTGACATCAAATTTCTTGGGAGCTAATAGTATATAACCCTGCCACATCCCTTCATCTCTGAAGTCGAAAAAATTCCCAAAACCAGCCCATAGATAAAATTCAGTTCATATATAAATTAATTTCATCAATACCAGATCCCACGAATAAAACACAAGTACGATGTCGACATGCAAGATCCTTCGTGGCTGGTAACATTCTGAACATTCCTAAAGCGCGCGGGACCACACCCATCATTCCCTTCCCAGCCATCATACTTAGGCCACTCCGGACTTACATTGTCAATGACTAGAGGCCTTCTATCCAACCATGTGTAATGCATACATTCCACAAAAAAAAAAAACCTAATCTCGATATTATGCAGAACATATGTCCTCTCGCCCTTTCTAACAGCCCACGTCTGGAATGAAGCCATCATGAGAAAAGATCCCGATCTTCCCGATCCTCCCGATCCTCTGGATTTCCAGAATGCTATGTATATGAGGGCGAGAACCGCAGATTTAGGTTCTTCTCATTGAATATCGAGCTTTCACACCATCCGCTGTGGTTATCACCCAGATACTGCATGTTGGATCCAGCCACATCTTGCAGACAACTAGAACTAGACCAACACATCCACTCGACCCAGACTTACCACCATGTCGGACTTCAAGGGCTTATTCCAGACCGTGACAGTATTTGTCGCATTTATCCTCACCCTCTTATGTCTCTTCGCAGGGACGCAGAAAAGCTTCCTTGAGGATGTGGATCTCTTGACGGTAAGTCCGATCGTCCCCAACTATATAAGTGGCAGGTAGATGCAGAAGACTAACTTGGCCTAATCATTTAGCTTTCCACGCCCTCAGTCAACACCGGCAGTGGAGCCCAGGATTTCTATTCCATCCATATACTGTCCTACTGCCAGGGAACACTGATAACAACCGACGCCGGTGTAGAAGTCACGCGCAACGTGACTGAATGCTCGAACCGCACGATTTTGTCCTCATTCGACCCGACACAAGCCTGGCCGGAGGAGGTCACCTCCAGCCCGCAGCTGGGGTGGCCGCGCGTTATCAGCGATGACTTCCACGCCTTTAAGATGTCGTCCCAAGTCATGGCCGTGATGTACATTATCGGGGTTGGCGCGATGGGCCTTGCGATTCTCGTACGAGTATGGGCGACTCTCGCTCCGAAAGCGAGCCAGGGCCTGATTGAATTTTGGCTGTTCATGGTGAGTTACAATTATACATGGACCCGATCTGGTGGAGTTTACCCCCTACATAAACCTCGTCTCTGCATGTCACATTTATGCAGGCAGCGCACTTCCCAGTTCAGCGAGGTGCATTTCGCATTTCGCCATTTCCCCAGAGTACGACAAAAAGTGGCTGACATGGAATCATTAATTAGCTCGGATCGTTTAGTATCAGCATCGCATCCATAATCGCCACCGTCATCGGGTTTGAATTTGTCGCTCTAATTAATGCCCACGGCAAGGGCTCGAACGTATCAGCCAAGTACGGCGAGAAATTTCTCGGGATGACTTGGGCCGCGGTGGGGCTGTTGGTCGCCGGTAGCATTGCTTGCTTTGCGAATGCCTACGTTAACAAACGGGCTGCGCCTGGGCCTGCGCCCGTCTCAAAGGACATAGAGGGGTAATGAGGACCCAAAAGGAAGAAGGGGAGCGGTGATGGTAGCCAGTCGGATAGCGCAGGTTTCAGACGGGGGGCGGAAGTCGGGGAAACTCGCGAAAATCGAATATAATCACATCACCATAGTAGATAGTTAGAGAGAGCCATTTATGAATCGAATGATACCACCTTCTCATATTATACCTCCACTCCCCTCCCCCGTAACTAATAGGGAATAGTAGCCAATCTAACTAGGAGCCCGTTTTAAGTGAAACGGTAGAGTTGTCAATCCGGCTACTTACTTTTGCTTTTGCGGGAATATCTGAGGATTACGGTGTTGGGCCAATGGGTCGGGGCCCGGAGGTACCAAGGTTAGGCCCTTATTTTGCCCCTTAACTTCCAGGGGCTACGGTATGTTGGGCAGGGTCAACCAGGCAGCAACCTACTATATTCCATAGGGGCCAGAGTACTGGGGACATGGAAGGCAATAGATACACTTGGAAATAAACACCTCGGCTTGGTATGGAGCTGGCCGCGACTAACGGGGAAAAAACTGGGTCGGGGGGGTCTATCAACCGTTCATCCGACGTCACCACATGTGGATATCAGGATCTATGAGGATCTATGAGGATTGTGAATAGTCTCGAATATTCTTGAAATAACCACATGTTATACCTCAACCCGATCACTCCGTACATTCCGTATGATGGCTCAGACTCCGAGGACCACTGTACTCCGTAATGATTTTCCCGGTTTGTCGGCTGATTTTCTCCGAAGTCTATGTTGTACCATTTTGCCAAGGGTTTTGTCAAAGCGCGAAAGTATTGACGACTATGGACGGGTTTTCCCGAAATTTGATTCTTTGTTTTGCCGGTGAGTGGTTCAAGTCGTGTGAATGCCCAGGTGTGCATGAAAATGAAACCTATAAGTTACTGAAATAGGAATGGTGTATATGTTGTAGGATGCCCCTACTGCGCGGTAATTGTTGGAGTGATGGTTGCACGGACATTAAAGTGGGGGAAGAATAGAAAGAAGTGTAACATCTCTCGGGTCAATAATCCTCTTGTTTAGAATGTTACAGGAATTATAGAAGAATAGAGAAGAATAGAGAAGAATAGAGAAATATTTAGAAATATAGGATTATAGAGGAAGTGGTTGAACAGGCGGAGGCCAGTCCCGTTGCCCAGATATCTATGAAGTCATCGTCATATCTCCCCTGGTATATTTCCCAACTTATATAGAGGACCCCTTGGATAGTTCCTTACCTATTACCTATTTCCCCCTCTTTCCTTAAATAGCTGCAACTTTCCCCCTCAAATTGGAAACTGCAACTTACGTGACTTCCTCTTTAGTTTCCTCACTTTACTTCTACCTCAACTTCCCCTTCTTCTTCCCCTTCCTCTTCCTCTTTCTCTTCCACCTTTATCCTCCACTTCCACCTCTACTCTACCTCCACTCTACCTCCACTTCCACTTCCACTTCCTCATATCAAACATCATGGAGAAGAAAGCTATTCATTTCGGTGGTGGAAACATCGGCCGTGGCTTCGTCGCCGAGTTCCTCCACACTGCTGGCTTTGAGGTCGTCTTCGTTGATGTCATGGACAGTATCATCACTGCCCTACAGAACACCAAATCTTATCAGGTCACTGAAGTCAGTGATGAGGGCGAGAATACAAAGACTATCACCAACTACCGTGCCATCAACTCCAAGACCCATGAGAGCGATGTCATCCGGGAAATTTCGACCGCCAGCGTTGTAACCTGCGCCGTGGGCCCCAACATCCTCAAGTTCATCGCTCCCGTGATTGCCAAGGGAATCGACGCCCGTACTGACGCCACACCGCTGGCCATCATCGCCTGTGAGAATGCCATCGGTGCCACTGACACTCTACACCAGTTCATCAAGGACAACACCGCCCCAGGCCGTCTCGGCTCTATGTCAGACCGAGCCCGGTTTGCCAACTCGGCCATCGACCGTATCGTACCTGGTCAGGCTCCTGACAGTGGTCTAAATGTGCGCATCGAGAAGTTCTACGAATGGGCCGTGGAGTCCACACCTTTCGGCGAATTTGGTCCCCCCGAAATCCCGGCTATCCACTGGGTTACCAACCTGGAGCCCTACATTGAGCGCAAGTTGTTCACCGTCAACACCGGTCACGCCACTGTAGCCTACCATGGCTACAATGCCGGCAAGAAGACCATTGCCGAAGCTCTCCAGGACTCTCGTATCCGCAACATTGTCCGCAATGTGCTTCAAGAGACTGCCTCTCTCATCGTTGACAAACATGAAATCAGCGCCGCTGAGCAGCAAGAGTATGTCGAGACCATCATCACCCGAATCTCTAACCCCTACCTCGAGGATACCGTGGAGCGTGTGGGTCGTGCCCCTATGCGCAAAGTGTCCCGCAAGGAGCGATTCATCGGCCCAGCTGCACAGCTGGCTGAGCGTGGTGGAAAGTTCGAGTCATTGATGGGCTCTCTTGAAATGGCTTTGCGGTTCCAGAATGTGGAAGGCGACGAGGAGAGTGTGGAGCTGGCCAATATCCTCAGGGAGAACGCGCCTGCTGATGCTGCTATCCGATTGACCGGCCTGGACCGAGACCACCCCCTCTTCCCCCATGTGGTCAAGGTCGTGGACGGCGTACAATCCGACGCAAAGTAGGCACCTCTTCCTTATGCCAGCCTCACAACATCCTAACATCGCTTTTTCAGAGATGTCGGGCAACCGCACATTTGATTTCGCTTTGTCTGAAATTCAAGTTGCATGGAATATCGCTAATACCAGGTACACGGCGCGACGGGAGTAATGAGATCAGTGTATGAATTTTACGAAGTGTAGTATGAATAGCGAATGAACAATCATATCTTTTTTTTCAATTCTTTCTACTATCTTTACTCTAAAATAAATAAAAATGTCCTCACAACTTACTATCAACCCAGACAGGCTTCCTCTTCTCCACAAATGCCCTGAGCCCCTCCTTAATATTCTCCCCTTCATACAACCTCTTAACCCAAGTCTCATTCAACATCGCCGTAGCCTCATCCGCCCCAATACCCTCCCACCCCAACTTAACCCCTTCCCGACTAACAAGCACCGAATCAGGGCTATTCCCCGCAATCTCCCCAGCAACCCCCAAAGCCTTCTCCAAAACCGCCCGACCAACCTCCTCATCCCCATCCCCTTCCCCAACCTCAACAACCGAATTAACAAGTCCCCATCTCTCCGCCTCGACAGCCCCAACCATCCGCCCTGTAAGAACCATCTCCATAGCCCGCTGTTTCCCAACAGTCCGCACAAGTCGCGGCAACGCACCAGCAAGAGCAACAACCCCGCGCTTCACCTCCGGCAGCCCAAATATCGCTCGCGATGACGCAATCACGATATCGCTGTTGATGATCATCTCCGCGCCCCCGCCGAGACAGATCCCATTCACCGCGCAAATCACGGGTTTCTTGCCCTTTCGTCGCGCGAGTCCGCCGAACCCGCTATTCGGCATTGTGGTTTGCGAGCTTGAGCTCGTTGCTGCTGACGTGCGGTTGTTCCATTCTAGGGACGGAGTTAGTGGTGTTTAACAGATGGATTGGAAAGTCTTGGGTTGGGTTTTGGGGATTGTTTTGGGTTTTGGGGATTGGGGATTGGGGATTGGGGTTTGTGCTTTGGCTTTCGTCTTTTGTATACTAGCTAGCTATGTTTATGGCGTGTATGCTGTGCTAGCTCACCTTTTAGATCAGCGCCGGCGCAAAACGCACGTCCCTTTCCTGTTAGGATGCCCACGCGCATGGAGGGCTCTTCATCGAGCCATTCCCAGATGGCGTGGAGGTCTGCGTGGCCTTGGCTGTTTATGCAGTTTAGATCGCGGGGTCGGTTTAGCGTCACGAGGAGGATGTGGGGTGCAGGGTAGGTGAGGGTTGCGTGGGCTGGGGTTGGGGGTTGGATTGTGAAAGCTGGCATTTTTGTTTCTTGGGGGTTTTTCATAAGTTGGGAGGTTGGTTTTTATTGAGGAGGGAGGAGAGAGGAAAAGGGATGAAGGGAATGATATAGAAAAATAGAGCTGATTGACGGTAGTTGGGGGTTATTTGTAGATGCGGAGAAGCTATGCCGAGGACCGAGGAGTGTGGGGATGATCACTGTATTTGGGAGAATGACTTTGGAAGTTGATGTTTATCGACTCTTTTTCTTTATAGACTACATAGAAGATACCTAGGTAGCTATGTAGGTTACTGTTCATTGTACAATGCGAATTACAGGTGATATTCTACCTGTCACTTATCAACACATCCGCCCATCTCCCAAGTTCCCTATGAACGCCCAAAAAAAGAAACGCCCCCGAACAAAATCACAAGTAGATTTGGATATCAATAAGCTAAGAAGCGATTACAGATGGATCCGGCGCACCTACGCCTTATTGATCCAACCACTGTGTACCATGAAATCATAAATGCGGCTGGTTTTGGTGCCCTCGATCTAACAGAGTCAGTAAAGAAATTCGCATTTCAAGTACCGAGTAGTCAACATACCTTGCAAATCATCCGTGCATCTTTCTTCTTCAGGTTGCCGCCCTGCTTCATTGCTTCCTTCAACAGTGTCTCCTTGACGACCAGATATGGCTTCGGCATTAGACGTAAAACATTGCATACCTCTGCCTCTTCCTTGGTCAGAAGGTGCAAGTCGGCAGCAGTGTCATTGTCCAGCTTCCACGACGGCATCCCGCTTAGCGGCGGCACCACGTATTTCGTCTTTGTCGGCTGTGGGGGAGGCGCATCCCCATCGACAGCGAAGGCGCGATCGAAATCGTTCAATGGTTCGTCGGCAGGATCTGCCGGTGCGTGTGGATTGGCAGCCTTTTGTAGTCGTAGCGGCAGTTCAGGCGTTGTGAGCTGGATTGCTGCCGCTGGTGTCTCTGTCAGCTGTGCCTGCTTGGGGCGGTTGCTGGCAAACCGGTCAAATGACCCTTGAGGAATCATTCGTTGCACGCGCTGTTGTTTATCTTGCTCGAACTTCTCGCCTGCTTTCAGGTCACCGATGCCCATCTGTCGCCATTCTTGGAGTTGGGAGATGGCTAGGCGGAGGTTGTGCTCGTATTCCAGACCCTTGTTGACGTCTTCAAAGTCCTTGCAATTCATCATCCGTGCTAGTGGTTTTGCTTTGTTCAACAGATCTCGCTCTTCCTTCGACCGTTTCTTATCTAAGGCGGTGTTCTTTCGGTATTCGAGGAGGTTGTGCTCAAAGAGGATCTTCTTGCGCTCTGTACGCGCTGTCAGGCGGGAGTTGTAGATATCAACCACGGTCATCTTGAGTTCTGTCTCTGCATCTGGCTCGCCGTTTTCATTGAGTCCAGCCCCGGGCTCGAAAGTCATGTGTTGCACCGCTTCTTCGGCATCGTTCAGGAACTCGGTCTCAAACTCCAATCGTCCCGGCATGTAGCCCTGCACTTCGTGACATGCCGGTACACTGGCAGTCGGTTTCTGCTTTGGTGTGGTTGGTGGCGCTGCCTTGGCTGCATCTTTGCGCTCTTCAATGCGACGCTTCTTGCGTGTTTGGAAGTCCTCTTTGGAGATCGAATCCTGCAAGTCCCTATCGTCCGGATCGGCGTGGCTTGCAAGAGGGAAGTTTACGCTTTTCACATATGTGTCGTAGTAGTGGTCTCGCACTTCATCCTTGCTTCGGTAGCCGCCAATGTGGTCTGCGATGTCTGCCCAGGAACCCAGCCCATAAATTTCGGCGCCTTCCAGTAATAGCAATTCTTCATCCGCCCCCCAATCGCCCTGGAATATGGGGACTGAGTTTTGTTCGATTACTTGGAATGGATGTGTGGCAGGGTCATGGTTTTTGGAGTTCTTTCCGGCTGAGAAGCAGGGAACACAGAGGTCGTATTCGGGGCAGGACGGATGCGAACACGAGATGCGAACCTATGAGATGGAGTCGCCTTAGTCTCTGAAAAAGATAACAGACCTTCAAATGGTCATAACACAATCAGGTTGAGACTTACTGTTGACGTAACATCAATAGAGCACACATCACAGTGGAACTTGGTGCCGGCCTCGGTGCCGCGTGATGCGGTCTTCTTGCGTATCACACCCATTAGCCCTCCACCCCTTTCATCGTCCGATTTGTCGGGTGCTGTATCGAGAGCAACAGACTCAGAAGTCTGAAAATACTAGACTTGAAGATGACAAGTTGAGGTGTGATCTTCCGGGGTAGGTGTCTCCGCACTTCGGAGCGGGGAATATTCCGAAACTTGAAAAGGAGATGTAAATTGACACGGCTACAATCTAAGCCGAATTTCAAACTCTCTCGTTCTGTGGAGTCCACTGCTTTGATTGTTAATTGCCGTGGGGGGAAGTTGATGCGTCGTTAACCCTTGTGGCGGAGTAGTGGCTGAGGCTGATTAATTACAATACTCCGATGTGGATCCATCAAAGACTAGGTTGACCTATCAAACAAATGAAATTAGGTAATTTATAGTAAACTTCGTATTATAATTACAGGGGGAACTTCCCCTCTCTCATTCTCATTTGATCTTCGATCTCCCCGACTCTTTCTTATTCTTAGTCGTGCTTCCATACGGATTTCGAAAGTTATAGTGGTGGTTGTCTCTGTCTCAACTTCGTTCCTTTTGCGTGTGTATTATCTGTGTCCTTCTGTGGCTTCTCCAGGTTTTATTTTGGGGGTCACATGTTGATTATTGGGTGATTCTTTAGCACCCTGCACACACGCATTGCGGTATCTTGGACTTTGATCTCTTCTTCTCGATCTTTTTTTTTTTTTTTTAAAACAACAACCGCCACTATGTCCTGGAAGCTCACTAAAAGTATGTTTACTGGCAGTTGGTCTCCCTCTTCCCCCCCTCCCCTCAATACCCCTCTCTGCATTTGCAGTGAAACGCCATAGGAATTCGCTAATTATACAACTCAACTTAAGAGTTGAAGGAGACGCATCTGGCACCCTTGACCTCATCATTTGGCCGGTCGTCGTCTACTTCGACGATCAAGGGTGACTCAAATGGCGACGAGGCCCTGACACCTGTGGCTTCTAACCCGCCCTCCGCCACCCCATCTACGAACGGGATTGGTATGTTGTTATTCTTATATTAATATTACTGGAATCCTCGGTAACTAATCATTTCATCTTTTTTCTTTTTCTTTTTGATAGCCGCCTCAGAGTCTCTTGTCTCCCCTCCTGTGGCGCCTGTGAATCCAGGAATCCTTATTGTGACTCTCCACGAAGGGCGCAATTTTTCGCTGTCCCCTCATTTCCAACAGATCTTCAATTCGCACTTCCAAAATAACTCTTATGCGCCCTCTTCTCTACGCCCAAGCACTTCTTCTTCGTCACATTCAACTCAAAACCAAGGGGGTTCCTTTGTGCCATCTGGCCGACCGCAGTCCACAAGCGGGGGAATCAATGCCGCCCCCCACTATCCACGGTCGCTATTCCACCAAATACCTCCCGTATGCCCTCCTTGATTTCGAAAAGAACCAGGTCTTTGTGGATGCCGTGTCGGGAACTCCAGAGAGCCCATTGTGGGCTGGCGACAACACAGCATTCAAGTTCGATGTGTCCCGGAAGACAGAGTTGAATGTACAGCTGTATCTGCGCAACCCTGCAGCCCGGCCTGGTGCCGGACGGAGTGAGGACATTTTCTTGGGCGCATGCAAGGTCAACCCTCGCTTCGAAGAGAGCCAGCCATATGTGGAGGATCCGAAACTCAGCAAGAAAGACAACCAGAAGGCTGCCGCAGCTCATCATGAGCAAGGGCGTCAATTGGGTCAGCAGGGTGCTGAGTGGTTGGATCTCCAATTTGGTGTTGGTTCGATCAAGATTGGTATTTCCTTTGTGGAGAACAAGCAGCGGAGTCTTAAGTTAGAAGACTTCGATCTGCTCAAGGTTGTTGGCAAGGGTAGTTTCGGCAAGGTCATGCAGGTCATGTAAGTGGACTCGAGATTTACTCATTTTGCTTTCAAAATGCTAATACTCGGAAAATCACAGGAAGAAGGATACTGGTCGGATCTACGCCCTCAAGACAATTCGCAAGGCTCACATTATCTCGCGATCTGAAGTCACACACACACTTGCCGAGCGGTCGGTTCTTGCGCAGATCAACAATCCGTTTATTGTTCCGCTGAAATTCTCGTTCCAGTCGCCCGAAAAGTTGTACTTCGTATTGGCATTTGTGAACGGTGGAGAGTTGTTCCACCATTTGCAAAGAGAACAACGATTTGATATCAACAGAGCCCGTTTCTATACCGCAGAGTTGCTGTGCGCTCTCGAGTGTCTGCACGGCTTCAAGGTTATTTACCGAGATCTTAAGCCTGAGAACATTCTTCTCGATTACACCGGGCATATTGCTCTTTGTGATTTCGGTCTCTGCAAGCTGGATATGAAAGACGAGGACCGAACCAACAGTAAGATCTCCTCATCCCTCACGATAAGCCCTACATAGCTAACCAAACCCAAGCGTTCTGTGGAACTCCCGAATATCTCGCTCCAGAACTTCTCCTCGGCAACGGCTACACCAAGACCGTGGATTGGTGGACTCTCGGTGTCTTGCTCTACGAGATGTTGACAGGCCTGCCTCCATTCTACGATGAAAATACCAATGAAATGTATCGCAAGATCTTACAAGAGCCTCTGACCTTCCCCAGCAGCGATATCGTCCCGCCTGCTGCGCGAGATCTTCTCAGTCGGCTGTTGGACCGTGACCCCGTGCGCCGCCTGGGTGCTAACGGCGCTGCGGAGATCAAGTCTCACCACTTCTTTGCCAACATTGACTGGCGCAAGCTTCTCCAGAGGAAGTACGAACCTAGCTTCCGACCAAACGTGGTATGTATTCTTTACCTCCGATCATGTATTGAATCAACATGTGGCTAACTTGATGCAGGTGGATGCCCGTGATACTGAAAACTTCGATGTTGAATTCACCAGAGAAGCACCCCAAGACTCATATGTCGATGGCCCCGTCCTGTCGCAAACCATGCAGCAACAGTTCGAGGGATGGTCGTACAACCGACCCGTGGCTGGCCTCGGCGATGCAGGCGGCAGTGTTAAAGACCCGTCCTTCGGTAGCATTCCGGAGTAAGGTCTCTCACTTCCTTGTCAGGTTAGATCGAGAATACCCGGTGCGAGTAAGAAAGAATAGGAGGTTCATAGAGACCATTTCCCTTTTTAACTGCGTATATGTCTTTCATTAACATATCGACCAATCTTGATCTTTTTTCCTTTTTCTTTTCTCCTTTCTTTTTTTTTTTGCTGTGTTCGTCATATTGTTCGGTTTCCCATCACAAAGGAGTCTGTGGCATCTTGATATCGGAGTCGCTCCTGATCTTCGAGACGACATTGTTTCTATCGTTTCATACGGCCGTTGAGCGCTTTGATTTGATTTTCTTGTCTTGTTCGGTCATCTCCCTTCCATCTCAAGTGTTCATTCTCTCCAGGCAGGTTCCTTTCTTACCCTTGGTTTTGTTGCTTTTCTCAAGCGGTCATCGTCTTGCACCCTTGTTCTGTATTCTCGATAAAACTTTACAATGGACAATGCCAAAACAGGTTTGCATTAGACGTCTTTGAGTATGTTCTTCAACGAGTAAGATGGATCACGCCTCAACGGGTTTAGATGTGAAGTAGTAAATTCAATTCAATTCATATCAACTACAGCAACTGTCCCACGAGGTGAAGGGGGGGCTCTTGATTCTTGGTAGCTTGTGGGGATACGGTACCCGCAGAAATGGCCCACCTGGGCACTCTCTTGTATATTCTTATTTAGACGTCTATCATCATTGTAACTAAATACCAGGCCGGTCCACCCTATAAACCACAGATGCGACATTAAAATAAGCCTCGTACTCAACCTCCTCATCCCCATCCTGAATATCATAATGGTAATGACCTCCTCTGGTGGTCCCATTTGCACCAAAGCAGTGAGTATGCTCCATTCTTAACCCCAATCCTTCCGGGTCACTACTGTGCATCACAGTGAGGCAGACTATAGGGGCCTGGAAAATATGATAAGACAGCCATTCCGTTTCCAACTGCCTGCGATCTCGAAATGGCAATTGATCTTCCGGTGGGAAGTCAGGCATGATATGAAACTTGGCTTTCCCAGATTTCAAAAGAAAAACCCCACCAAGACTAATTGGTTTGGAATCCCCATAGACCTTTTGCAAGCCATAACGTATACAATCGGTGAAATTCTCATCTCCCTTCCGCGTCCTGGCATTGATTTTAAGAACCGGGCCAGTAACCCCATCTGATCCGAAGAGGTTGGCCATCAACGCGCAATTCGTGCTCGATGTGCGATCACAGAGCGGAGTATTGTCTCCGTCTCCGTCTCTCTGGACCTTGATCACCCGCGTGCCATTGTCGAAGGCCAGCAAGCTTGGATCATCAAAGCCGGGTGCGTTCGAATTTGATCTCCAGGATAGATTGGGCGCCAGCTCGGCGTTTTGACCAATATCCTGAAATGGAGCGGCGCCTGCCCCAAGAAGAAAACCTGCTTCAGGGGACATTTCCATATCTTGGGCTAGAGAAAGTAGTGAATATTTGGCAGTGAGGTTCGGTCTGGGGAAGAGATGTTGTTGTCCGCCTATGTCTGCGATCCGAGGACTTCCGGAAAGCCCAGATGCAGCGAGGTTGAAAGGTTGTTGTTTAAGGTCCGGACACTCGGCAACTATTGCGCTTGCGGTTTTAAAATTGGATAAAAGGGCTTTCTCAATAACAGCTGCAAGCTCGTCCAAGGGAGGGTGGTATCGTAGATGCTTTGTCACAGCCATGTTGCTACACTTTTCAGGGTTAACGAGATAAAATCTGTGTAATTTTCTGTTCTCGAAAAGATGAAAGGACAAGATGTGCTAGCGCAAATGGTAAGGATTTGAAAATCATGCACTTTCTGGTGACTTTCGTTGGCGAGGAAGTACGAAAGGAAGTTGTTTGATGCCTGGATGCCTAGCTTTGGCCCGATCTCAGCCGAGGCCGCTAATAATAGCTAAGATCCCTTAGGACTCTAGATGGCTGAGTATCGAGGAGAAGTATCGTGTACTCTATTTTCTACTTCAAGTTTACGTTCATGGAGTATAAGCCAGATACACAGGCACCAGGCAAAATCCGGTATAGTATACATGTACAATAATCTAGTAGATCAACACCACTGGAAACAGAGGGAAACATATTGCTTGTATCTAGGCATGTAATTTGCTCCAGAGACACATGACAGCGCAATTACAAATAAGAAAATGAAAAAAAAAGTCGGACACACGTTAAGACGCCGCTCGCAATCAAGAATGAACTGACCGGTCAGCCAGAAAACAAACGATCAACCTAACTCTCCTAAAAAGTCACCAAACAGAACTCGGTGCTTTTTGCTCGTTTACTCGGCTTCGGCAGCATCGGCCTCGTCCACTGCAGCCTTGTCGGCTTTCTCTACCTCCTCATCCGCTTCCGGTGCACCGTTGGTCGCACTCGCGGGCTCTTCATCATCGCCGTTGACATCAATCAAGGACTCTGAGGAAGGGGGCTCAGGGATGGCACCCTCCTTCTCTAGGCGAATGTACTCATCCCACTCGGGGAAGAGGTCGTCATCGGTAGAGGCGACATCGGGCGCACCGGGCGGGACACCAATGAGTCGGGCAACCTTGGACTTGTTGGATTGCTCTAGGGATTCCTTCCATTGGACAACGAGTTTAGGGGCGCTTGAGGGCTTGTGGGTCTGGGCGAGGAGAACTGCCTCGGCGATGCGGTTGTTCTGGATCAGGAGAGCGATGCAGCCGTCGATATCTCCTAGAGACCACAGAGTGGAGAAGGCGACGTTGTGAAGGCCAGACTCCGAGGCCTGGGCGGCCAGGGCCTTGAGGCCTGAGCGGTTGTTGCTGGCAGTGTGCAACAGTAGCAAAGAACCCACATCCTTGGCATTGGTGAAGCACTCCTGGGCCAGAGCAAGGTTCCAACCGGCCAGGGCAGCATCACCGACAATCTTCCACTTGTGCTCGACATTGGCCTCGCGGGCAATAGTGAGTGCGGTTTGAAGATCGCTCAGCGCAAGGGCCAGCTCGAAGCGGTGCTCGGGGTCCGTAGCGACTTCCAGGGCCATTTCCTTATATCCTTGACCTTCGAGGAAGCGGGCGACCTTGTTCATCTGGTCTTGTGGGACATCCTTGAGGAGCTCAGATGCCATGTCCATATCACCACGCAGCACCACTGTTTGATATTCAAGCATGCTGAGAGAAAGGCCGAAGGAGACGGCGTTGACGTCCTTGTCGGAAAGGTAGATACGGCCATCCCGAGGCAGGTAGCCAAGGACATACATCGGTTGGTCGAAGTGAGAGATTGTGTAGGTCTGGTCACCGACAAGGTAGTTCAGGCGGTTCGTGGAGTTTGTGTAAATGAAGCAATCTCCAACCCACTGTCCAGTCCGGACGGTCTCGTTGATTGTAGCAACCAACTCAACAGCAGCCTCAACTCCATCCTCGTCGGCCTCACCGGCGTTCAGGCCGTTGATATACTCCTCGCGAGAGTAGCGGAGAACGTAGAAATCATCTTCACAGGCAAGGGTAACCAGTTCACCAGATTCGGACCAGTAGACCTGTGCATGTCAATTAGCATGATTGCGAAATAGCTCGCCAGAACGAAACTTACAGATTTCGGGTCAGCTTCAATTCTCCGAACCAGGCTACCAGTCTCCCAATCAAAGAAGCCAATACCACCTTGACCCTTCACACCCAGAAGAACACCATCAGACAGGCCCTCGGCTTGGAACCCAACATCAAGACCGGCACTCTGCTCTTTGAAGTTCTTGAAAATCTTGACACTTGTCGATGACTCACGGATAGCGTAGTCGTTGCTGTTGTCTTTTGCACCCCAGGCGAAATCGAGAGCCTGTCCAAATGCCTTGTTTCTCCACGCCAATGCGGTGTAGATGATGTATTCTCCATCACCACAGACAGAGACGAAACGTCCATTGGGGGAGTGAGACAGAGTCTGCGGGTACACCTCGCATTGTCCCAAATCCTTGGTTGGTAGAGAAAGGGGCTCGCCGTCCTTGACAGAAGCATCACCACCCTTGATCACTGACGACACGACCTCACTGTGTCTCGCCCAGATAAGCTTACCAGAGCCATCCATTGAGACGGCGGGCTCTTCCCGACCCATCTTCACCACGACAGCACCATCATCGAAACCCATCGCGATTCCCTGTCTACCCCGCTGGTAGGAAACACACCATGCTCGTTCTAGCCCATAGCTTAATGACTGCTCCAGGCGGTAGGTGTTTGCGTGCCAAATTTTAATGGTTCCATCTTCAGAACCTGAAATGATCACAGGGAGTTCAGGGTGATAGCAAGCAAATGAGACATTGCTCGTGTGGCCCTCGAGGGTTGCAATGAGTGCCTTCGTTGTGTAGTCCCAAATCTTGACGGTCTTGTCGTCGGAGGTGGTGAGGAGGTATGGCTTATCAGCCTGTGGGTAGTAGTCGACGTGGTTGACACCTTTCGTCTCGTGAGCTTCGAGTGTGAAGTTGGCATGGGGAGAGCCGAGGTTCCAGATCTTCACGGTCCGGTCCAAACAGGCGGAGGCGAAAGTGTTGGTATCCTTCGGGTTGATCGACATGCCCATAACGTAGTGGCTGTGGCCCTCGAATACTTGCACGCACTTCCAACCCTTCTCCCAGTCCCAAAGCTTAATTGTCATGTCATCGGAGGCTGTGAGCACAAACGGCTGGGTGGGGTGGACGGCAATAGAACGGATGTAATCCGGGTGTGCTTCAAAGGAGGTGATTTTTTCGGATGTGTTGTAATTGTAGACCCGGAGCTGGAAGTCATCTGAACCGCAGACAATCCAGTTCTTCCGCGCAATGAATCGACCGGCACGAACGGGGACATCGGTGAGTTCGAAGGTTTTGATGATAGACTAGAGGGAGGACAGTTTAGATAGGAGTATGGGGAGTGTGGATCTGTGGCGGATCTTACCTGCGATTCGTAAGACCAGATGTAGACATGACCTAGACAGGAAAGCAATTAGCGCATTGGACATCTCCCATACTGCCCCTCTCTCAGCATACCGCTATACAAGGTCGTCAAGATCTAAGAAAGATATTAGTTTGATT